CTGAATGGGATTTAAAGTTAAATGAAGATGCTCCCCACAAGGATTCATTCTCATTCTTCCCTCCCTTCTTTTCTCTCACTCCCATCCTTCCCCCTCTTCTCTCCCCTCTCTCACTTCCTGTATCTCTAGACAGACCCTAGATCTAAAAAGGGAGCCCAGGAACATGGATATTAGCCATCCTGCCTCCCCCACCCTCCTTAAATTCATTTAAGTCCATAGAGAACCTTACATCCTGGGCCTGTAGTAGCTCACACACCACAGTAACTTACTTTTCTATGGCAGAAGAAGTCTTTGCACCAGATCTTAGCATTCTGGGCTCCCTCCTCAACTCATTCTCTCCCTGCAGGTTATCCCCTATTCCCTGCTGGCCTTGGCCATGGTTATGTATCTGCCAGTTCTGCTGTGGCAGTATACAGCAGTGCCAGCGCTCAGCTCAGATCTTCTGTTCATCATCAGAGAACTGGACAAATCCTATAACCGCTCCATCCGCCTGGTGCAACACATGATGAAGATCCAGAAGAGCTCTGAATCCCACATTCAAGTTTTCTGGGATGAGCTGGAGAAGTGAGTTGTCTCTTTCACTCCTTTCCGATTATTCTTTAAATTATCCTCTGGATCATACTTCTCAAGAACACAACTATATCATCTCACTACCTTTCTATCATTCCTATGTAGAGAGGAGAGATTGTTCTCTATTCTTAGTATAAGACTGACACACTAAGTAATAAAAGCATTAATCTTTCAAAAACACCACTTTCTAAAGCATCCCTGCTCAGAAAAATTGAATAATTCCCCTCACACTTGTAGAAGAATTCTCCCAAATATTTTTTCAAAGTCCTCAACACATTGTCACCAACCACCTTTTCAAACTCTTCTCTCACAATGAGGTAACAGAAACCCACCACTCTATCTAGACAGTCTCCTCCTATTCCCCTATGTAAGCCATCCCTCCATTTAATCACTCACCCATCATTTGCTGAAATATCTACTGTGTACCAGGCACTTGACTGGTAATTTGGAGATGTGTGGGTGGGTGTGTACACACATGCTGGGGCTGAAGAGAAAAAAAACAAGGATTTGGACACAAATGCATACCTACCAATGTGGGGCTTACATTCTATTGAGGGAAAATCCAGCACACTGTCATTGAGTCAGTCTGACTTGACTCACAGTAACCCTATAGGAGAGAAGAGAACTGCCCTATAGGGTTACCAAGGAAGTAGATTCCCACATCCTTTTTCCCATGGAGCAGCTGAAACATTTAAATCACCAATCTTTTGGCTAGCAGCCAAACAATTTTAACCATTATATATACTTATAATGGAGGTCTGCCTCACTGGACCTCCATTGTAAGTATAACATGTGATTAAATTACATGTTAGAAGATGGCAAGCGATATGAAGAAAAAACAAAGCAGGGGAGTGCAAGGGATTAAGAGTGGCACCGTTTTTTTAAAGGGTGGTCAAATCCTCTAAGAGAAGATCTGAGCAAAGGTTTAAAGCCATGTTGTCTCGAGTGTTTACACATGCCTATCCTCTGACAAAATGTCCTCTCCTTTCGACCTTTCTGACCCTTCCCTATCTTTTAAAGCCCAACTCGGAGCGAATCTTCTCTGCAGGGTTTCTAAATATCCCATCTCTCTCAGCTGCCTCCATCTCCTAAGCTTTGCAGCTACCTTGGTTTGTAGCCATCATTTTGGCAACACATGAAGTGCATTTTTTTCTTTCATATTTACATGTCTTTTCTGCCCTACAAGCCACATAAGTTTCTGTAGAAACCATTACAGCTCTCAATCACTTATTTACAGATTTAGGTTTACAACGTGAATTAATTTTCTGTGTAAATAGAGTACAGAGGCCCAGAACTTGAATGCAGTTATTTAAACACCCATGCTTGTGATCACTGAATAAGCATTACTGCTTCCTGATGAGTCTACTTCAGCTAAGAAATTTAGTCTGCCTTGCTGAGCAGAAGGTCAGTGTGACCACTCCTTTACCATGGATGGTTCACTGCGTTTATTGCACCACGCTTTGTACTTAAGGAGTAGTTTGTGCTCAGAGAAGCCAGAATTTCATGTTAGTCAAGAATTTCATGTTGGATGCACAAATCCTTTGTGACTTCCCCCACATGGATATCAAAAGCTATGGTTCAGATTAGTCCTAACTTTGCCTCCTTTCTTCCTCTGC